TATATATATATATATATATATATATATATATATATATATATATATATATATCGTACCTAGTAGCCAGAACTCACTTCTCAGCCTACTATGCAAGGCCCGATTTGCCTAATAAGCTAAGTTTTCATGAATTAATTGTTTTTCGACTATCTAACCTACCTAACCTAACCTAACCTAACTTTTTCGGCTACCTAACCCAACCTAACCTATAAAGATAGGTTAGGTTAGGTTAGGTAGGGTTGGTTAGGTTCGGTCATATATCTACGTTAATTTTAACTCCAATAAAAAAAAATTGACCTCATACATAATGAAATGGGTAGCTTTATCATTTCATAAGAAAAAAATTAGAGAAAATATATTAATTCAGGAAAACTTGGCTTATTATATATATATATATATATATATATATATATATATACATATATATATATATAGGAAAAAACGTTAACTACAGAAATACCGAAATTGTGGAGTTGATGCTCCGAGTTGATCCTTGGAGCATCAACTGCCTGAACAGGCCATACATGACGTCAGTGACATACGCTGGTTATCACAGCTGCTGACTATGAACTTTTACCTTTGGTGCCACAGTCAGCTCCCTCATAACATTTTCATAATGCTTTACCAGTACACGATCACAGATGTAGTCACATCCGGCCCCCTCACAATTGCCCTCTAATACTTTAAGGGGACATGACCCCCACCTCGTCATTATCGCGGGTCACCCGGATACCCTCGACCCGCACAGGACTTAAGAGTGCTGCTGTCTCTTAAAGATGTATGTTCTGTCCCGCATGTCCTTCTGCCGTCTATTTTAAGTTTGTCCTTCACACCATATATATATTTATGTATACATAAACATTTATACACTGTATTGAGTATGTATGATTATACACTTGTTTCCCATTTTCTTACAAATATCGCCCTGGACACTGTATATATAAAACACTATTTACATAAATGTTTGTGCACTGCGGTAGGTATGAATGTTTCTACACCTGTAGATACCCGTTTCTTACACCGGGGCTCAGGCCATGTGTAAATGCGCTATCTTTATTGCAAGCGTAGAATGGCAACTTAATTTCAAACGTAGCTCGTCTTATCGTGGTAGAGTGTGTTAAGGCTGGGAAGCACTGGAACCCCGGCTCAAGTCATCTCTTTTCCCCAAATGAGTTTTTTCATTTATAAATTTAAGTTATATTTGGTCTGTGAAAAATCTTATCTTTCATAATTTTTTATTATCTTATTGGTTTTCTTTTCTTTTCCAATATTTATGTGACAACTTAAATTGCAAGTAATATCTTACTCAATTTATTTCTTATTTTGTTTACAGCAGTAAACGTGTTGTGTGGTAAAGTAAAACTGAAGGAAGAATGTCACGTGTCTCAGTATACAAGGTAGATGACTTTAAGTTTTTGATAACAATTATTATTGTTTGAATCACCTTTATTAAACTGGGGCTCTTGTTATAATGGGTATTGCAACATTTTGTTATAAATTGTGTTTTATTATAATGATGAGCATTAAGCTATGTTTACTATGTTTTTCTAACGTAAATTAATAGTGCAGTTGATTTGTGTAAAACTAAATCAATTATAAATGTTGGCAATTTTAATGAAGTTATTGGCGTAGTGATGAAATATGATGCAGACAGGTTGCAGCAGTAGTGTTGAAAGCAACAACTTAATAAGATATGGTCATTAGTAAGAATGACCATATCTTGACCGGCTTGCCGTCGGATGCATTTTCTTCATAAATATTGCATCAAATGAAAGATATTCCTTCCTCTTTCTCATTCTGTGGTTGTGACAGGCAGCTGTACTTCTCCAGAGCCTTGTCAATACAAGCAACGGACAGACAGATCCATAAAGAATTAATTTGCCATTCGCAATTTTTTATCTCAATAAATTGTCTAAAAATAGAAAATTGTAAGGTTTGCTTGGGACTTAGAAATTTCAGAGCTTGTTTGTAAGAGCATATGTAGTCGGTTACAAATATACAAGGTCGGACTAAAAAGCTTATTGGGAAGTTACCTTTTCAGATAATACTACACAATGAAAATGCATTGCAAGAGTACTTGAAGTTCAAACTTTATTTAAAAAAGCTAGTATCACAGTACAAAATTATCCTATGATGATATAGTTCTAATTACATTACGCTCTATATGCCAATACATAAAAATAGGACCATTTTAGTAAAACAACACTGACAGACCAACCGGGCTGTAGTGGATATGTGGGCCGCTCCAAGCAACAGCCTGGTGAACCAAGCTCTCACAAGTCAAGCCTGGCCTCGGGCTGGGCTTGGGGAGTAGTAGAACTCCCAGAACCCCTTCAAGGTACAATCCAGGTCGAGTGAAGGAAAACAGACCCACTTTAGTAAATACAAAATTGACACAGTGAAGGAAACAGGACCATAGTTATTTATTAAGAAAACATTGATACACTGAAGGGAAATAAGTTAGATTGTACACATACAAATAAGAGGAGAAAGTTGCAATGTTGGGTAGAATTCAATCATATTATATCATACACTGATGCCAGTTTTGTACTATATTGATATTAATGGTGAAGTTTATGACAAGCAGAGTACATTATGTAAAAAACAATATATACAATCTGAGTATGCAAACTATTTGATAGTTTCTGAGCAGTTGCCTGTATGTTGCGGAGTGTTTATAGTTTAAGCGCAAGGTGTATAACTGGTCCAAGGGGGGGGGGGGGGGGGGAAGAGTAGTGCTACAGTGAGTCGCAACTACTACGTTTAAGGTCTCACTAAACTATTCTTAACAAGGTCCACGAGAGACTATGAATACCACAAGAATGCTGGAACCGAAATTAAGCTACACCATCGCTATCCATGAGTGTTGCCACAATTTATCACAAGCTTTATTATAACTTATAGAAGCTATTTGTAATAAGTAACATTTAAGCTTCAAAGCATTAGCTGTATGTGACTTGTTTATACAGACCGCTTCATCCTTCAGAAAGGGTTTGTTCCAGTTGCAAATATTTGAGCTTAAAGGAAAAGTAAATTCCAGTCTAACGCTGAGAACTAAATTAATTAAATGTATAGTAGCGGGCTTCCACCTCGGCGGCCCAGGTTTTGACCCTCAAATGATTGAGTGGACACACACACACACACACACACACACACACACACACACACACACACACACACACACACACACACACACACACACACACACACACACACACACTCACACACTCACAAGTTAGGTTTGACCAAGCTAAGTGAGAAGGTGGTAGAGGCCAAAACTATCAGTAGTTTCAAAGCGTTATACGACAAAGCGTACTGGGAAGACAGGACACCACGAGCGTAACTCTCATCCTGTAACTACATTTAGGTAATTACACTTATGTAATTTACACACACGTGCAGTGGCATGCTACAAAATGTCTTCCGGAACTGAAAAGCAAAAGTTACGTGGAGAGACGAGGTGTTAAACATGCCAAAATTAGAAGATAGATGAAAAATGTGACATGATCATTAATTACAAAATACTAACAGGAATCGACCAAATTGATAAGAAGAATTCTTGAAACCAGCAACTTCACGAAAAAAAGGATACAGATTCTAGCTAAGAAAACAAAGGTGCTGAAAAAATATTAGAAATATTTCCTTTGCAAACAGAGTGGTGTAGAGGGTTGGAACAAGTTAAGTGAGAAGGTGATAGAGGCCAAAACCATCTGTGGTTTCAAGGCACTATACGACAAAGAGTACTGGGAAGACGGGACACCACGAGCGTAGCTCTCCCGTAATTACACTTACGTAATTATTACACACATTTATTTTGCATTATATATATATATATATATATATATATATATATATATATATATATATATATATATATATATATATATATATATTATATATTTATGTTACCTAGTAGCCAGAACGTCGTACTCGGCCTATTATGCAAGGCCCGATTTGCCTAATAAGCCAAGTTATCCTGAACTTGTATATTTTTCAATGTTGTTTTCTTATAATATGATAAAGCTATCCATTTCATTATGTATGAGTTAATTTTGTTTAAATTTGAGTTAAAACTAACGTAGATATACGACCAAACCTAACCAACCCTACCTAACCTAACCTATCTTAACCTAACCTAAACTAACAAAATTAAGTCAATAATTTATGTTCTTAATATAATATAATAATAATAATTCAAATAAACTAATTGGGAACAATTTATTGAAAATAAAGAAAATCACTCTGCTTTTTAGGCAAATCGTTCCTTCTATAGTAGGCCGAGAAGTGCGTTCTGGCGACTAGGTATATATATATATATATATATATATATATATATATATATATATATATATATATATATATATATATATATATATATATGAATATATATGAATATATATAATATGAAAGTGTCAGACCACGGGGGAAAATTGAAACAGGAATTTCCTTAAGTACTTTCGTATATTAATACATCTTCAGAAGGAGTCTGTATTAATATACGAAAGAACTTAAGGAAATTCCTGTTTCAATTTTCCTCTGTGGTCTAACACTCACATTTTTAATCACGTGTTCATTTTCGTGATAATCACACACACACACACACACACACACACACACACACACATATATATATATATATATATATATATATATATATATATATATATATATATATATATATATATATATATATATATATATATATTTATATGCAGAAAAAAAGCACATGTGAATAATAGAGAATGTTTAACGCGTTTTCGGCTACATCGCCTTCATCGGAGCAAAGTAGAATAAAAGTAGTAGAATCCTTCATTCTACTTTGCTCTGATGAAGGCGATGTAGCCGAAAACGCGTTAAGCATTCTCTATTTTACACATGTGGATTTTCCACATACTTGGATCAGTGTTTTCGTGACACACACACACACACGCATATATATATATATATATATATATATATATATATATATATATATATATATATATATATATATATATATATATATATATATATATAAACCATTTATTTATTGTGTGCGTGCGTGCGCGTATACAACTTTCGGCATTATTGCACTTTTACATACCATAGTGAATATAAATTTTTAAGTATGTTGTGTTCGTTACTTTTTATATGGTAAATATATTTATAGTTTAAATTTTAATGTCTTATTCGGATAATTTATAATATAATATATTTAACGTTATAAGATATAGCAACAAATACAAATAAATAAATTGAATCAACCTGCTATTTTGCGCAAAATCTGTCAACTGATCTAGATGATAGGTGTTTGACATAATGCACAAAATATTTAGTAAAATATCAGGCATGTTTTATGTGTTTTTTGCTAATGCTCACTGTAGTTTAATTTTACAAATAAACCTTATCGTTGAATACGTCGCCGTGGTTGAGATATCACAGCATTATAGTATAAGACGATATCCTGCTTCAGACGGATATTTAATGTTTCTTTTCATTGTATACTTTGCGTCCATGCTTAACAGGACTCCAGAATTCCAGTACACACTGGTAATAAGACCATAGAGTGAGTGACTAATGACATCCACACTGCATGGCAACCATCTGATTATACTGCTTAAGGACAACATTTTCTTCGGCATCGTAGAAGAGGAGAGAAAGATTACCATATGCCGACGGGACGCAACAGGGCCGCTGGACCTCAGGAAACTCGCCGCTGTGGTGAATAATGCTTTGTACTGTGGCGTGATTAGTCGGATTAAGATTTTGGCCTAGTGGAAAACTACACTGCCCGGTGCATTGATATGCATTGTAACTCTTGGGGTACACGATCCATGACGACCAGCCGATGGCGTCAAAATCCACGTACATGTCTCTCCGCTCACACCCAGAGGGAATACGAGGGACGCGGTCTTCATCCAGCGAGCGGCGGACGCGGTTGGCTGAGGGGCTCTCGAATGTTTTCCTCACCTCTGTTGGAATAACAGGGTTAGTATATACTAACTGCATGCTTGTGCTATATTAATAAAAGTGTGACAAAATATTACAATTCTCCTTTTTTCTATGTCACTGATCACATTAATGCCGCAAATAACCACATTGAAAGGTGTAGGAATGCTAAAGCCCTTTCGAGCCAGCCTTCTTCAGTAGCAAATGAGAAAATGCAAGGTCGGTCAGATGTATGGAACCCGGCGTAGGCACGGACGGGAAGGGGAAGAGAGGGAGTAGGGAGGCAGCAAGACCAAATGGTTACACGTGGTAATGCACAGTAACCGTGGGAGAAGATTAAGACAACAGTGGTCACAAGGAAGCACATATACGTATGCTTTTATATATATATATATATATATATATATATATATATATATATATATATATATATATATATATAATATATATAATATATATGCATCACTGCCCACATAAAAGCAGTGAGGTGGTGGAGGTAGACTTTATACACAGTTTCAAATGTAAATATGATAGCGCCCAATAGGCTCAGAAATCTGTACACCAGTTGATTGACAGTTGAGACGCGGGACCAAAGAGCCAGAGCTCAACCCCCTGCAAGCAGAGTACTGGGTGATAACATACATACATATGTGGGTGAGAGAGCATGAATATTAACTTGCAGAAAAGGTTTGAATTTTAATTCCCATTTAAAACGATAAACAAAATGGAAGTGGGATATGCTTTGCTTATGATATAAGACAGGAAATGTAACTGGGCATCATGTAAGACAAATAACTGAGCACTAAGAAAGACAGCTAATTGGACATGAGACAACTAACTGGGCATCAGTAAGTACAACTAATTGGGCATCATGGAACTAGGCATCAGTAAGGACAACTAATTGGGCATCATGAAGTACACCTAACTGGGCATCATTTAAGACAACTAACTAGGCACCAAGAAAGGCCATTACCTGAGCACCAAGAAAAACAGCTAATTGGTCATGAAGACGACTAATTGGGCATCAGTATGGACAACTAATTGGACACCATGAAAGTCAACTAACTGGGCATCGTTTAAGATAACTAACTGGGCACCAAGAAAGACAACTAACTGGGGACCAAGAAAGACAGCTTATTGGACATGAAGACAACTGACTGGGCATCAGTAAGGACAACTAATTGAGTATCATGAAAAACTACTAACTCTTAAAGTCAGCATTGACAGAAGGTTCAAAATATTAAAAGCATGCGAATATTCGAGAACATAAGATGAAGATAAGAACATTATAAAAGAAAATTAAGAATTTATTCAAATTTAACCATCTCAACCTTCTAAAATTCAAATACTTATAGTAACGTAACTATGTCGTGAATGACCACCAGATTATATTGAATCTGTAATATCATATATATTGCCGACTGTAATGCAGAACCTTTACCTGGGATAGGAAGTGGTGTTGTAATCGTGTTGTTGCCGTCAGGGTGGGAAGTGAAGAGGACAAGCAGAGGTTGGTGCGTTCCATGGGATCCATGGTGCAGCGTGAGTGGCAAGGGATGTCCCGCCAAGGTTGTTGCTGTCACTTGAAGGGTCACTCTTATCTGGTCTTGGTCACTCGTCGCACTAGGGCCCACCACACCACCACTTGGGTCCACCACACCACCACTGGCACCCACTATACCACCACTGGACTCAATTAAACCACTACCAGAATCGCGGTTCACCACATCACCACCCACTTTAAAAACTCGCCATCCACTACTGTGTGCTGCCACGTGTTCTTTCACCAGTGCCTGGGAGCCCATCTCACTCACCCTCTCAACTTCCATCTAAGGACAAAAACAAATGCATAAATAATATATTTAACACAAAGCATACGAGAGTTTCTCAGAGCTACTGCTCTCTTCCAGCTGTCGGTTACATTCATTATAATTACAATACATTCTTGTGGAAATCAGTAGTTATATATATATATATATATATATATATATATATATATATATATATATATATTATATATATATATTACATATATATATATATATATATATGTTATAATATATATATAATATATATATATATATATATATATATATATATATATATATATATATATATATATATATATATATATATATATATATATATATATATATATATATATATATATATATATATATATATATATTATATATATATATATATATATATATATATATATATATATATATATATATATATATATATATATATATATATATATATATATATATTATAATATATAATATATATTATAATATATATATATATATATATATATATATATATATATATATATATATATATATATATATATATATATATATATATATATATATATATATATATATATATATATATATATATATATATATATATATATATATATATATATATATATATATATATATATATATATATATATATATATATATATATATATATATATATATATATATATATATATATATATATATATATATATATATATATATATATATATATATATATATATATATATATATATATATATATATATATATATATATATATATATATATATATATATATATATATATATATATATATATATATATATATATATATATATATATATATATATATATATATATATATATATATATAATATAATATGCAAGGCAGTGCAAATCTCAGTAATAGTGATACAAACCATGTAAATGTTATCTTCCAGCAAGTGCCTCTCTGCCTTTGGAAGCCGTGAGTAATGAACGTGAAACTCGACTTCCAACACGTGCTCATTTGCCCCAAGTCCGGTCACGGAAAACGAGAAGAGCGAGTCTCGGCTTCTATCTGCGTTGCAACATTGACGTGTATGAGTGCTCGAAATATATTGGGTGATATATAATACAAGCTTCGTGTTGTGTGTATACTTCAATGTACGTGTGAGGTATTGTTTATTTACGGTAATACAAGCAAACTTATTTCAACAATTTACGTCTATTTCGTTTTATAATCCATGTCTGACCTTTCTCTGAGAAGGCTCTGACGATTGTGGCGCCATAGGGCCCAGGGAGGCGCGTAAGTCCGCTGGAGTCTGCTACTTCATTATAGAGGTCAAGCATGTACTGTGGTGGCTCATTATACCATCTGCGCACTCCAGGCTCAGACATACCAAATGCCTGCGGGGAAGAAAACTCCATTCATAAGAAGAGTTGTTATACACTGGTGAGGGTGAGTGTCGCTCTCGTCACTTCACACACATAAATATTATGAACTATAGCGCACCTTCAGGAGCTCTGCTGGTGCTACTTGGCGGTCCTCTGACAACTTGGGAGTAGAAAATGGAACTCTTAGTGGAGGCAGAGAAGCAACAAACCCCGCAATTATGACTAACAAAGCTGTCTCAGTAAACACCATCTTGGCCACAATAGGGAGGTCTCCGGAGATCTCTGATGAAGTTGAATGTGCCCGTGGCGGCAGATGAGGCAGGTATGCACGCCGCCTCGCTATCACCGGCTATTTACGCAAGTTGTAGCTGCGGGGGCCGTGACTTGGAGCCGGGGGGCGGGGCCGCCTGACGCCACGACCCGTCGCTGGTGCCACTTATGGCCGGTGGCCTCACCGGACCCAGGACTTACCAGCGCTGCTAAGGCGGCTTCCTGTCGTGGGAATCCCAACCAGAGCTTTGGACCGCGCTATAGAGCGATAGGTCGATGGGTGTCGAGACTTATTGCTAAACGTGGTGCAGGCCCCTTACGAATGACATTTGTTACATTATGTTGGTCGTTACCATTCTACTGGCTTATGGTCGTAAACCTGCTCCTCCTCATCGTGTACTTTACATATCTGACATCCAGCCAAAGCCACCAAATACGGAGATGGTGATTCACCGCCTTTCTTCGCTTTCCACGGGTCCCAGCGCCAGTAAACATTAGGTGAAGAACTCCTGCAGAAGCGTGTGACTCACCCTGGCGTCGGGGAGCCGCCAGCGTCCAGAGAATAATGTATATGACTTAATATGGGGCTCCCAGCAGCCAGACGTACGTTACCACCTAGAAAGAAGAGCGAGTAATAGCCTCTCTGTGTTGTAACTGTAGTGGCTCTATCAGAATTAAGAAATACTAAAGTACATAGTATACCTCGAAAGATAAAGGGCTTACAAAAATAGTCACACTGTTTAATATTTTCATTAAGAAAAAGTGTGTTACATGAGCAAGACGCAGCCACAAGGCATGGTTCACTAATGCAGGTGTAAACATAACTAACATTTTAAGGATCAAAGGGCACTCATCTCGTCTGCTATATAAACATTTTAAAATTCATTTTGACAGTTTTGTCGTGCTAACATATATGTGAATAATATGTTCAGTAAATAAAGAAGTAATGTTGGTATATTTGTATATATATTTAGTCAACAATGTTTATAATATTTTTAACTTTTTTACACGTCCATCAGTAGCCACATTCACACCCATCAGTAGCAACATTGCAGCCCATCCTCCTGTTTTGGTAGTACTTATAGTAACGATGAGGACTATAGTATACCGTCGTACAACGAAATTAGAACTGAACTATCGAGTTAGACAAACCGGAAAACTATTTTTTACTTGCGTTCCATTGATAAACTAAACTAACCTATCCTAACCTCACTTGGCCTAATACACGATATCTGAGGCCTAATATAGTATATATGTGTACTATACTAGGCCTAGGAATATTTAAGTTTGTGTTTTAGCTTTATTCAAAAAAAGTTCTTACTAGTCAGTATACTACTATCTAAAAAGCTAAGAAAGTACGAATTCTGGCTATTGACGATCGTTACAATAGGCTGTCTAAACAGGAGGATGGGTTGCAACATTCACACCCATCAGTAGCATCATGCACGCAATACCTCATGGGTCTGGACAGTAACAGCAGTACACCCACTGGGTCTAAATCCACCTGATCATCGTCCTCTGTGGCAGCTCCCCGACGGGATTCTATAAAAATCCCCGCCTCACTACCTGGTCAATTTATAAAGCTTGTACCCAGCTTTCGCCAGTTACGTCCCCACTCCTGTGCCAGGTAAGTCCACTAAGAGCTCACCATAGCCCGTGCTACTTGGAACTTTTGTTCTGAGTACCTTAATCTAAAACAACAACAACATTTTGTCAGTTACAGCCCAGCTCCTGTGCCAGATAAGTACACTACGGGCTCACCATAGCCCGTACTACTTGGAACTTTTTGTTCCGAGTAGCTGAATCTAAAACAACAACAACGGTCCAGGAATGGACCGAAACGTTGTCGTCCCTTCAGTTTTTAGTGTGGTTTGGACACCATATTTCAGCCACGTTATTGTGACTCCTAGTCAACAACAACAACAGTCTTGTACATGTTGTTGTGGGTTGAACATGTATATGAGTAGGATTGAGTGGTTATAAATAGGAGTTGCCTTGTATGGGCCAATAGGCCTTCTGCAGTTACATTTGTTCTTATTCCGTCAGTTACAGTCCAGTTCCTGTGCCAGGTAAGTATAGTACGGGTTAACCATAGCCCGTGCTACTTGGAACTTTTTGTTCAGAGTAGCTGAATCTAAAACAACTACATTCCGCCAGTTACAGCCCAGCTCCTGTGCCAGGTAAGTACACTACAGGCTAACCATAACCCGTGCTACTTGGAACTTTTTTTTTTCGAGTAGCTGAATCTAAAACAACATTACGCCAGTTACAGCCCAGCTCCTGTGCCAGGTAAGCACACTACCTGCTAACCATAATCCGTGCTACTTGGATTTTTTTATTGAGTAGCTGAATCTAAAACAACAACATTCCGCCAGTTACAGCCCAGCTCCTGTGCCAGGTAAGTACACTACAGGCTAACCATAACCCGTGCTACTTAGATTTTTTTTTTTGAGTAGCTGATTCTAAAACAACAACATTCCGCCAGTTACAGCCCAGCTCCTGTGCCAGGTAAGTACACTACAGGCTAACCATAACTCGTGCTACTTGGAACTTTTTTTTTTTGAGTAGCTGAATCTAAAACAACATTACGCCAGTTACAGCCCAGCTCCTGTGCCAGATAAGTACACTACGTGCTAACCATAATACGTGCTACTTGGAACTTTTTTTTCGAGTAGCTGAATCTAAAACAACAACATTCCGTCAGTTACAGCCCAGGTCCTGTGCCAGGTAAGTACACTACAGGCTAACCATAACCCATGCTACTTTGAACTTTTTTTCGAGTAGCTGAATCTAAAACAACAACAACATTCTGCCAGCTACAGCCCAGCTCCTGTACCAGGTAAGTACACTACGGTCTAACCATGGTCCGTGCTACTTGGAACTTTTTGTTCAGAGTAGCTGCATCTAAAATAACAATAATTCCGTCTTATCGTCAAAGGCAAGAGCCATCGGGTTCAGTAAATGTATTCAAAATGTTGACTAGTATTCGGTAGCCCGTCCTCAAAACATTGGGAAAATGCGCGTTCATCCAGCAACCGTCCCCTTGTTAATGAATGGAAACAACTCGTCCTCAGGCTGTGCTCGTCCAAGCTTCGCCTGATCCCAAAGACTTATTTGTCAATTTTAACGTACTATTTAACCACAAATGATGTATTCTCGTATAAAAATTAGTATTAGGTTATATTATAATTTTTATTGACAGGTATAGTATATGTTAGGTGTTTGGTTGTGTCGGCAATGCGTGCTAAGTCTTCATTTATGAATGAAAAACACTTTATACACAGACTCACAACTGATGATGCTCTAACTTATCTCTAACAGTACTTCATTCACGTTTTCTCTTTGCACAGCCCGTCCTCATCAACAAAGCCCAAAGTCCATTCCATACACTCACCAAACCCCCCCTGTTTATGAATGTAAAACGGTTTACACACGACTCAACTTCTGACGTCCCAACACTTCCGGAACCAGTGCTTCGCTGACGACTTTTGTTCGAACCACAACGCTGTAAACAGCCCAGTCCGTCCTCTAAACAAAGACCCCAAATCCATTCCATGCACCCGCCAAATCCCCTGTTTATGAATGAAAACGGTTTACACACGACTCACAACTGATGACGTCCGAACACTTCTGGAACAAGTGGACAAATTTTGTTCGAACTAAAACGCTGTAAATGCTTCACCCAGGTACTACAAATTCAAATAATCGCTAACAGAACCTATGCATCCAACCTATCCAATGCCTAAATATGCTAATATATAACAATATTTAAATTTATTTATACAAGAGTTCTTATATTCTTGTACAGTCACTAACACGCATAGCGTTTCGGGCAAGTTCTTAATCCTATTTTTCACACACATCCCCAGGAAGCAGCTGTCTAACTCCCAGGTACTTATTTTCTGCTAGGTGAACAGGTGCATCAAGGTGAAAGAAACTGCCCATTTGTTTGCACCGGGGATCGAACCCGGACCCTTAAGATTACGAACCCCGAGCGCCTTCCACTAGGATGTCAGGCCGCCTAATATTAGTTTATATATGAGAAAATTCCTATTTTTAATGAATAGCATGTTAAAATTGATGAATGTGTCTGGGGTCGACCGCTAGATGGAATGAACTTGGTCTGAGGATGGGCTGTAAAATTGATGAATGTGTCTGGGGAGGGGAGGAGTAGGTCAGTTTCTCCTGTAACGAGCCTGGCCTGAGGATGGGTTGTGTTAAAGCTGTAGGTCCCCCAAAACACATTTATAAATTTTAAGGTATTGTGTACTAATTGTAAGTTTGTTCTCATTTATATATTAATATTATTATATATTACAGTTTTATGTATAGTAAGACATATGTTAGGTTCAATGTTTAAGTTCTGTTGGTGATTGTATGTATTTGTAGTACGTGGGTGAAGCATTTACAGAGTTGCGATTCGAACAATGGTCGTCAGAGAAGCAGTGTTCGAACGTTATCAGTTGTGATTCGTGTGTAAATCTTTTTTCATTCATAAACAGGAGTTTGGCAGATGGATTAACGAACACTTAGCCTTTGATGATGAGGCCGGGCTGCGAAGACAAAAGTGGTTATCAGGATGCCTGTCACGTGTAGTTGAATGCCTTTTATAGTTCCCTCATGGTCAAAATTTGGCGTCAGCTGCATCTTGATATCGATCAATTAACTACTAACCCTGTTCATCGGGATCCAGTTTGACATCCTAGAACCCATACTTAGGCAGCTTTTCGAACTGTGTACCAAAAAAGTACCGTAGCCCGGGGCGGTGCTTTGAGAGGCCTGACAGCTGAGTGGACAGTGCTCGGAATTTGTAGTCCTGAGGTTCCGGGTTTGATCCCCAGTAAAGGTGGAAACAAATGAGTAGGGTTTCTTTCACCCTGATGCCTCTGTTCACTTAGTAAATAGGTACCTGGGAGTTAGACAGCTGCTACGGGTAAATAGGTACCTGGGAGTTAGACAGCTGCTACGGGTAAATAGGTACCTGGGAGTTAGACAGCTGCTACGGGTAAATAGGTACCTGGGAGTTAGACAGCTGCTACGGGCTGCATCCCGGGGATGTGTAACAAAAAGGAGGCATGGTCGCGGACCGGGCCGCAAGG